ATCAGTACATGTACTTGTTAATACTTGAACTTAATTCATTTATTTATAACCAGTAGAGAAAAATCATTAAAGGCTGATATTATATTCTGTGCTCTTCCATTAAAGCTACTAGGCAAGTGGATATTGAAAAATAACCTCACCTCTGATAGAGCCTATCTAAGGACTGTGTATTGGTTCTAACTGGCTGCTGAGTAGAATTACTTGGAAGACACCGAATGATGCTCAGCCTAACTTGTAACCAATTGAAGGCAACACCTCCTCACTGCTGATACCAGTGGAATGGTGGGAAGTCTCCAGTAAGCAAGCAACTGAGGAAGTTAGACTCACATGAATCTGATTGTATTGATAAGTATTCAGCTCCTGAAAAGGAGTAACACAAAGTCCTTGGTCTCAGGGTCTTAAGGAAGAGGGCAACAAACCCATATGGCTTTAAAGGAGCAGCAATGTTTTTAAAATTGGGACAAGATAATGTGATTTATAGAGGAAGGGACTCTGGGAAGAAAAAGCCTAAAAGAGGGTATATTCTCACCTGATTCATATTTCAAAACTTACAAAAGAATAAACAGTAAAATTCTTACTCTCCTGTTTCCAACTTTCCATCTTCTCTCCTTTGAAGGCAGGTGGTCTAATATGTACAATAGTTAATCAATGTACAAGCAATGTCTTTTCCCCTGTTTCATGCAAATGACATTGTACAAATATGCACACTATTCTGCATTTTGTTTTGTTTCACTAAATAGTATGTCTTAGAGAAAGACTTAAGGTTTAACAGTGCTCAAGTTCAAATGTTTCCATCTCAAACACTCACGCTTTGATAAAGGAATGTGTTGTACAGTGGGGACTCAACAAGTGCTACTGTCAATGTCATCACTGTTCCAAAATAAACAAGCCCCTGCTTGGCAGCACCTGTCAGCTGACATGAACTTGGGTAGTATTCAATAAGGAATGTTGCTGTTTTTACCTCAGAACTGTAGGTAAAACATGCCTTGGGTGACATTCTCAAAAGGAGAGCTCAAAAAGAGAACAGATGTATTTCTAATCCTGCCACACACACACACACACACACACACACACACACACACACACACACAAAGCAAAGATACAGTTGACTCAAAACAATTTTATAACAAAATCTGCAAAACCACAAGTAGCATTTACCTCCAGCCTTGGATAAACTAAATTATGGGATTAATAATAAGGCAATTGAAATTCTTGCTCAAAGATTTAACTTGAAAATTTAAGTGTATCTTTCTTTTTCTGAGGACTTGCCTTTCTCTGTGTTCCTGTGTTGAAGTCATCAGTAGGAAATATCTGAGAAGTTGGGATGCTACTTGGTTTTCTAACTAGGGACCTGTCATTTGTAGTCCATTAATATTAACTCATTGAATCCTACATTGTAGAAAGTGATATGTATAAGTTAATTTTAAGATATTTCTATAATTGTCCTGGCTTTTGCCATGTTATAAATCTAGTTGACACTTGCAGTTGATATTTTATAAAACTCTCATGTGAACAAGCCATAACATGTAACAGCTGAAGGCTTAGAATCTCTACTTAGTCATTGTGGGTATCACATGAGGTTTTTGTTATTTAGGCAGTCACCAATAATGTAGACTTTAGTTTTGGGGAAAGGAATTAAAAAACCAAATGCCCATGACATTGATTTGAGTTTGAAGATTTTAAGTCCTAAATTTTTTGCTGCATTGCTCCTTTTGGTATGCTTTTTGTTTGTTTAAAATCCCTACAATGTTAGAATCTTATTTTTAGGAATATTCTATAGACCATTGCTCCTTACTGAAGATGGAAGTTTTAGAATCAGTGTCATTTTCTTCAGGCAGGTCAGCCTGGTTAATGTGTTACTGGCCACTTTAATAAAGCATTGTAAGGAGATTGGATTGTTTATGTGTGCATGCTTGTCTGTGTGTGTATCTGGGCAGGAGGGTACAGAGAAGAGTGCTCAATAAAATCAATACACCATTGAGTCACTTTTATTTAGTGTTCATGATAAAGGTTGCTTATAGGCTCTGCTTTAGTTTTCTGAAGCTGCTAGTTGTCATAGGTGCTGAGAACATACAAATCCTAAGTTTATTATTATATTCCTTCCCTTTATTAAACATAAATAGCTTGCAGCCTCTTTTATATTACTTTTAATAACACACACACACACACACACACACACACACACACATACACACACATACACACACTTACTTTCCAGATCGTAGGTCTATTAGCGTTTCAGCACCTTACCTGGCTTATTCATAAAATTGTTCCCAGAATTTAGAACATTATGCAGCTCATACTACATAATAAATGAATATTTACTACATGAAAGAATATGTGAGCACCATCTACTTTATCATAACTTGAATAAAAGCTCTTGTTCTGTTCTGCCTCATGTTACCAGGACCTAAGACTTACATTAATCAGCAGGATATTTTTAGAAAAGGAAATTTCTTTATCATTATAATTTTGTTTTGATCAAATTTGAGATCAAATAGAATTTAAGAAAACAAAATAGAACGTATACATATTAAAATAATGTAAAAACAGGGAAACATTTTACTTGTAACATTGAAGTGTCTACTGGGGAAAGCACAATAAAATGGAAAACAACCATAACTCGAGTTTGACTATTTTATAAAGGAATATGATGAGGTTTTATGCATCACTTTCTTAGCATCCTGATAGTAATTCTGTTATGATTTCTATGCTCAAAAATATAAGATTTGTTTAGTATAGGGTCAGAATTGCAATAGTAGTTATAATCCTATAATATTTATTTAAATTATGGTATAGTTTTTTAAATAAACTATTTAATATATATATATATATATATATATATATATATATATATATATATATATATATTTATTTATTTTGTGGTACTGAGTGTGAAACCCAGTGCCTCATGCATGCAAGGCAAGCGGTCAACCACTGAGCTACAACCCTAGCCCCTAAAATTGTGGTATAGTTTTAAAATAATATTTCTAATACTTAATTCATCATTTTTGTTATCATTAGACACAGTTAATTGAAGGCACTGTAAGATAAATTGTCTTCTATGCAGGTTGTCTTACATGGTACAACACTTTTCATGTTGACACATTAGCTTTTAGTATCATTGTCCCATGAAACTGGCATCAGAGTGGATAGAATTCAGTTTCAACTGGTCATAGAGTTTCCTTCTTCAGTAGAGGTCAAGCTATTTAAAAATATTATTTCAGTGCGGTCAGCTTATTGAGGAGATACCGGCAAAGTGATTTATTCTTATTTAGCAGGCAAGAAACTGGAAATATAGACGGGACAAGTAAATTACATAAAGCTTTTTAACAATCAGTGTTATGTGGGTGACAGTTAATTTCTCAAGTCACAATCCACTACTGTGGGGACTGATTGGTGCCTAAAACACAAAGGTAAAAGTCAAATATGCACCTTGCTTTGTTAGAAAGCATGAGTTGCTCAATCATTTCTGACTGATGTGCTTAAGCCTTTAGAATTTTGAGTCAAATTATGTACATGTGTTGCCAGATTGTAATTGGCAGATTTTATACTGTTTGTGTTGATCCAAGTGAAATAGTAATGAAATAAATTGAAATCAAGTGCTTTTTGATTGTTATGATAATAAAAATCAATTTTTATTTGCAACAAATACTTTCTGGTATTAAAAGAACAAGAGAGAAAGCATTAGAGTTATTAAAAAAGACATAAAGAGGTTATTTTTTTAGAGGAGTAATAAGGTCAATCATTTAAAAATTAAAATAAAAATAGTGCCTTATCAAAAACCCAATTAGAAGTGGATATTGAATCTATAGACCAGCTATTCTCAACCTAATATTTATTATGTGTTCATTAATCAGCCTCTGTTTGGGGAGATTTCTGACTTTGCTTCTGGCAAATTCGTTCCTTTTTGCCATGGTTCAGTTTCCTGTGTGTGTTTTCCAGAACAGAAGATCCATGGAAGCTTAGATGGGTGGTTTGGTCAAAAAAATTTCAGGAAATACAATATATTGTTCCCCATCTCTTGGAAAATGCTGATATATTTTGACACTTTCAAGGCTTAAGAAATGATAAGAAACCTCTCTTCCTTTGCTTATTTCAATCTATTCCACAAGACTTTTATTGTGAAATATTCATATATTTTCAAATAATGTATATTAGCATTCGAGCACCTTGCTTTAGAATCATAGGAAGAAACCGCAATGAGAAGGGATTGAAGAAAGTTATATAGCTGAGCCAAGATAGATTTTATGAGTCATTTGGGATATTTATAGTTATTCATTTATTTCAATAACTTGCTTATTTTTCTCTTTGGAGTAACATCAATTCAAATGTTTTATGCTTTTTGAATTGTATAATTTACCAAAATTGTTATATATTAATTAGTACATGATTTTTCTGTTGAACATGCATAATTTCACTTTGAAGCTTTGGAAAACATGCAGTTTGGGATATCTCAGGGGATTTTTTTAAAAATGCATTGAGTTATTTCCTTGGAGAGAGACATTTAATTGAAAAGGTCACTGCTCAGGAATCACTGTGATTTCAGATTTTTCTGCTTTCTCAAATGATTGAAAATTGCTATTGTCACTTTTAATAGTGATCATGAAAAAACTTGTTAATGGTAGAATAATGACCATATTTTCTCATTTAGCCTACCACACAAAAGCAATATATTTAATTTCTTGGCAAAAATAGAAGGAATCTTATTTTCTTAATTCGAATATGATATATGTTCCTCGTGCTTCGTCTTTCAAAATGTGAGAGAGGAAAAACTACAACTTGAAAGCTTTTAGGATGTTGGAAGGAAGCAAACAGCCTTTTTGATATCTGGGCATTTGTTTTGTTTTATTTATGATAGAACATGGGAATATTTTAAAACTAAGATTTGTTGAGCACCTCGCTTTGTTAATATTGCTGTGTTAAATGTGTAAGTATTGAACTGTCAATGAAATATGAGACATTTTACCCAGTGACATTTTAAATGAATCTCATTGTAGGGGAAGCCTGTGGGAACACCAGATGCTGGCGCTTATTTCCGTGTGCTTGCTGAGCATGGAGTGGCTGCCTTGTTTACAGCACCGACTGCAATTAGAGCAATCCGTCAACAGGACCCTGGGGCAGCCTTGGGGAAGCAGTACTCTCTGACAAGGTGAAGTAGGGATGCACAGGGCAAATTACATTAAAAACTGCAATCAAAATGAATAACAGAACATTATGTTTTTTCCTAGTACTGCAGTACTTCTATGGGGACAGTCAAAAATTCTGAATCTGAAGATTGGCTTTATTTTTTTTTTAATATTACTTTGAAATACTTGTAATGTTAACTATACTGTAGAGTTTTAAAAATACTAGATCTTGTGTATTTCAGTTCATATCTTACCAATACATTTCTTTATGTAAACTCTCCTGTTTCTATGTTCCATCAGAAGTAAAATGCTGATGATGACTTCAAATACATGTAATTTCAGCTTCTGACTCTCTTTTGAAAGTAGATTGGTTTAAATGGAAGGAAATATTATTTGAATTCATGTATACAGATAAAATGAGAAAATTAGAGTCCAAATTACATTTGTGGAAAGAGTGAAGGAAATTATTTTTTACTTTTGTTTTGTAGTAATGTGCGGTGAATAGTTTAGATATTTTTGTGCTAGTTTATTGACATCTGTTTTAGTTTAATGATATGTATATTCAAAGTAATTATAGCAATTTGTATCTTCAAGGCATTTTCCAATGTCAGTTCTCATTGAACTTTTTGATGTAGGTCACTGCTGTCAAAAATAAAAGATTTTGTAGTTTCTTGAATTTAAAAAATGGGCTTGAGGTAAGGTGGTCTGAATTTTTTAAAGTTAAATGCCAGAATATTTGAATTTTACGTTGCAATTTCCCAAGGGAGTTAAACTAGATTATGATACATTCAACTGCATATGTAAGCAAGCTTCCAACTTTGGCAGGATCATTAGTTTCTTTCTTTATTTATGTTTCAAAAATAGGCATGAAATTGCCTAAGATCACATTCATAATATAAACAGTGGACCTCCTTACCTCCTTATTTTGTTAATATAGGAAGGTGTCCATAAAATGAATCTTCCATTATAGTATTTTACTCATTCTTTTGAATTTGTTCCTTAGTCTAGTGCATTTCAATTTCTTTTCCTTCACGTCAATATAGAAAAAAGAGATTTCAACAAAAACAACTTAGAATGTATACAGTCCATATCCCTTGAGACAATTCCAGGGTTTAGGAAAAAAAAATGTGATTTTAGTTCCTTCCACTGTGTCTTTATTAACACCCTAACTATGAGTGTAAAGTTGCATTAGCCAAGGTCTCACGTTTGTTTCCTCTAGTTTTCCTGTTTGTATTTGGGTTTCTAGATCTTATCCTCCACACAATACTGAATGGTCCCTAAATCATTACTCTTTAAATGTATACATGGAGACATGAGTATGAGATCGTTTTTTGTTTTTTTTTTGCAAAATGGCAAGAAATTTCCCCTGATTATGGCATCTCTCTCTAGGTACCTAAGTTATTCATCATTTTTTATGCATCTATTTTTTTGTTCTAATTACTTGTATATGGCAGTAGAATGCATTCTGACATATCATACATAAGTGGAGTATAATTTCTCATTCTTCTGATTGTACATGATGTAGAATCACACTGATTGTGTAGTCATATATGCACATAGGGTAATAATGTCCAGTTCATTCCACTGACCTTCTTAACTCTATACCCTCTTTCCTTCTTTCACTCCAAAGTACCTCTATTCTCCTTAGCCCCCCACTTTCATTATTGTGAATTAGCATCTGCATATTGGAGAAAACATTCAGCCTTTGGTTTCTGGGGATTGGCTTATTTGGCTTAGCATGATATTCTCCAGCTCCATCCATTTACCAGAAAATGCCATAATTTCATTCTAAAACTACTCTTAAGATTTCATCTCACTCTAGTCTGAATAGCAATTATCAAGAATACAAGCAACAATAAGTGTTGGCGAGGATGTGGGGAAAAAGGTACACTCATACATTGCTGGTGGGACTGCAAAATTGTAGCGACCATTATGAAAAGGAGTATGGAGATTCCTCAGAAAAGTTGGAATGGAACCACCATTTGACCCAGCTTCCCCCCTTCATGGTTTAGATCCAAAGGATTTAAAATCAGCATACTACAGTGATGCTGCCACATCAAGGTTTATAGCCGCTCAATCCATAATAACTGAACTATGGAACCAATCTAGATGCCCTTCAAAAGATGAGTGGATAAAAAATGTGAGATAGATATATATATATATATATATATATATATATTCACACACAATAGAATATTACTTATACATCTGTTTTTCATAGATACTTTAAAATATTTAACATATTTGGATTTTTTAATCCACAAACACCCTCAACCTATTCAAATTGCTATTATTAGTAAATGAAAACACTTACTGATCACCTACAATATGCCAGATAAAATTTGTTGTCTCATTTGATCATAGTAGTATATTTTGCCTTTCATGTTTTTGGTCTATTCAAATAATGCCACCACTGAACTACTTCAGTAAATTCTTACTTGTTAAGAAACAGTAGGGATCTCGAACATCTACTTTATTTTGAAAACAAGGAAACTGAGGGCCAATAAAATGAAGTTGGATTAGAGACTGAATAATAGAAAAGAAGAGCTCATCTTCTCATAAAGCTATACTTTTAGTATTGAGTTTATTTTAAAGGTATTTCATACTTACTGAGTCAACATTCACTAATTGTGGACTCTTGATTTTCAGTTTACGTCTTTCTTCTCTTATCCAGAATTCCAGAGGATGAAGTTTTCTTTTCAAATATGTTACATATCTCATTAAAATATTGTGTTTAAATAAATCTGGACATTTGCCAGACATTTTGGTTCCCAAAACAAGTTTATGAGTATAACCTGAAATAGGGAGCTAAACTGAGTTGTTTACTTGTTTTAGCATAATATCATAGGTGACTAGAATTTGGAAAACTAGCTCAAAGTCGTTAACTATCACTGTCTTATTTCACTGATGAGAAAACTGTCACATAGAGGTCACATAACATTCCTGGGATTACAAAATGATCCCAGGCAAAATTGGGCCTAGGCAGTACCATGTTGTATATATTCTCATCCTGGAGTTAGATTCATTCATGTCAGATCTATGGTTTAGTAGCCTTGGTACCTCAAGAAAATTACATAATCACTCTATTCTGCAGGGATTTATTTTTTAAAATTTTATATGTAATTCCTATATTTTAGTTGTCAATGGACTTTTGTTTTGTTTATTTATTTATATGTGGTATTAAAAATCGAACCCAGTGCCTCATACATGCCAGGCAAGTGCTCTGAGCCATAACTCCAGTCCACTCTGAAGGATTTTGTTGACACTCTTTGGAACATAAGGTTAATAATAGCTCAAGGGCCTAATGAAAATCAAAGGGGGCATGGTCCAGGCGCTTGAAACAGTTCTTAACAAAGACTAAGTCTTAATTAGTATTATTATCTTCTGTTTTCCAATTCACCACTGCTTTTCATTACATCACAGTGATTTATTTTCCTATGTTCTTCTAGTTCAATTTTAATTAAGTTAGAAAAAATCCAACGCTGGGATTTTCATTTGAGATTTCACGGCAACTTAACTTTGATGCTTCCCTTCTTTTCCAATTACCTACTGATGGGAGATAATATGAAAGAGAAAAAGAAGAACATCAGAGATGAGCTTAAAAGGTGAGGTAAACATTTCTGGGACTAGGAAAGGAATAGGTGTGCAAAGCGGTGAGTTGGCTGAAGGCAGAGGCTTGTTTTGAGTCCAAGCAGGCATTGTCAGAACCATAGGGATTCAGCATCCCCAATCTGAGTACAGGAAAAGAGCCTGCTCAAGCCAGGTATGTGGCGCATGCCTGTAATTCCAGCTAAAACAGGAGGATCACAAGCTCAAAGCCAGCTTCAGAAACTCATTAATGATAATGATGATGATGATGATGATGATGATGATGATGATAATAATAATAATAATAATGGCTGTGGATGTGGCTTAGTGGTTAAGCATGCCTGGGTTCAATCCCTGGTACCCAAAACAAACAAATGAAAAGAGACTGCTAAGTGCTTGAAGATAGTCTGACTGTTACTCCCCATGCTTGAAGGAGGCTAGAAAGACATGTGGTTAGTTGTTTTCTGGGACTTTGGTCTAGGGGATCTGAATGAGACAAGGAACATCCCAGGAACTGAAGATTGAACAGAACCATCCACCTGTTATCCCAGAGCAGATCTGTGATATTCATAGATCACTGTGGATTAAGAATTTTGGATTACCATTTTACCACAGGACATCTGGGGAGCAGTTATATAGTGCATGGACCTATTGGAAAGAAAGGATGAACATGGGAGAGAGTCTGAATGATAAAAATAAAACAAAGAAATTTTGTTTTTCAAAAATAGTCTGAAAAATAAAATTCCAAAACATATAAAGAAATCTAAATCTAACAAAGTCAACAGTTAGAACATGGGTTGATTTCAGGGGAAATGTTTATAGTATTGTCAATTCAAATTTGATAGTATCGTCAATTCAAATTTGAAGCATGTTAAGGATGATCAAGGTCACAAATAATAACTTTCCCACAAAATAGTAAAAATAAAATAGTTATAAAAACAAAATAAAATGCAATTGATGGTATAAGCTAAGTAATACAATAAACATAAGGATACAACCAAAGAATCTAATAAAAACTAGATGATACGGAGGAAATTTTCCAGAATGTGACATACAGAGAGGAAGTAAAAAACCCAAAAGAAGAATAAGAAGTGAAAAATGTTTCTAATAGGAATTTCAGAGGAAAAGAATGGCAGGATTGTTAAAATTAATAATAATAACAATAATAATAATAATAATAATAATAATTTTAAAAAGATACTCAGAGAGCCATTGAGAGTGTTAACAGAATTGAAGAAGGACATGGATTACAGATAGAAAGTGCTCTCCAAGCAAGTTAAAGAAAAGCAAATTCACTTTGGCATGTCATTTTAAATTTCAGAACACCAACTAAAGCTATAGAGAAAATCTAATAAACTACCAGAGAGACTTGACAGATCACCAAAGAGGAATTTCAAACTGATGCCAATAGATAGGGTAAGAGACAATGGTTTAA